CCTCCTCTTCTTCTTTCCCCTTCTCCCTAAGTGCGTATTTCGTCATGATGAATGGTTGGAAAGTTTATTGCTTCGTCGTGGTAAGTAATTAAAATTAACATTCTTCTCGAAGTAAGTGGATCTTATCGGATTTCTGTCGCTTTATTTGGCAACAGATAAGGACAGTGGCGTGATGCTTCCGACCAGAGTCGAGGGATGGAAGGTCGAGGGGGGGGAGGGGTCGGAGGGGTGGATGTTGGGGTAACATGCGCCCCTCATTAGGACAGAGATTATGGTTAAATTTGTTACGCTAACTATAATTTTCTCTTGAAAGAAGAAATTGTTCGTGCACTGATTTGCCATTATAATTTCCACAGTCGCCAGTATTCCAGCCAACTTGCTAATATTATAGGATTTAAACACAAAAATTTTCCCACCACATGGATAAATTAACAGCTACCTATTGAGATCCAACAATAAACTAATCAAAAAAGCTGAGATTTATTTCCTATAAATAAAATTTTATTTGAGCAGTCAGTACAGGGTTCATTTAATGTGACAGATCAGGGAAGCCCGAAATTCTCCATAGGCCAGATACTTTTCGTTGTCAAATTAGGTGTCAAATTTGCAAGAATAATTACAACTCGGACAAAATACAAAAAACCACCCACTAAAGGTAATGTTGTCAATTCTGAGGAGCAGAAGACAATCTGGATCATTTGGACGATGATGGCTGATGAGGCAAAGAGGTGGATTGGTTGGGATCATTGGCAGGAAGAGAAGGAAGTGCCTGCTCAAGACCACTGTCTGTACTATCCATTCTCTTTCCACTACCTTCCACTGGTGTCGAGTTAGTTTTTATAGAAGATGGAATGTGAGAAAGAGGAGAAAGTGGGACTTCATTCAATCCTGATGGTACATTCTCCACTTCTTCTCCTTCTCCTACCACTTTTCCTTCCACTTCTACCTTTTCATCCCTCATAGGAGATACTGCAGCATTCTCTACACGAGTGTTTGTCTCAGTAACTTTAGATGTTAGAAAACCAGGTGGTAAAACTTTCGCTCTCAAATCCGGATCTTCCATCACATTCTTGTATACGGAGTCCATCACTTTTAGAGAGTCTTCTATCATATCACAAGTATCAGTTTTTGGAGATTCCTGAAACACACAAAAACGTATTTTATGGGGGGTTGGGGAGAGATGTGTGAAATAAACATAACCTCGTTGTCAATTTATTCGACAATTCCAAGTTCAACTAGGATTAAAGTGGAGGGGGAGGGGAGGGGGCTGGGAGACTGAGGTCTGCACAAAATACTGTTATCATTGCATGTTAGAAGAGGACTTACTTCACCAGACATCTCGAAAACGCGATCATATATAGCCTTGATGAGGTTATCGATTTCCAAGCGTCGTTGTCGCGCCAGTCGTCTCTTTTTAACCAGAAAATAAGGAAACAATGTTTTAGCATCTTTATTCAAACAATGAAAAATTGACAATGTTCAGAGGAAACTTATCACAAATTCGAAGCTCACCTTTCTGTTCCTTTCTTGTTCACTCAATTGGGTAGACGTTCCTTGAGCTGCCGAGATCGATCCAGAACTTACACTGGGAGGAGTAGGGTGGATGATGGTTAAATTCGGCATTTTGTTCGGAATATTCTGATTGTTCATTGGCACAGTTCCTTGATTGTTGTTAGTCGACAAAAAGAGGCATACGATTACTGGAAAACAGTTCTATTTACTGAATTGCTTTAGCTCTTTAGTCTGAATAGCAATTCCTGAAAATACCATTGGCCTACGCGTAGCCAATCAAATTTGTGATGTGTCACATTTCCCTGCGACAGCTAATCAGAAGGGTGCGAGTAGCTTATGTGGTGATCAGTTTTGAAAATTTGCCTGTGACAGCTAATCAGAGGGGTGCGAGTAGCTTAAGTAGTGATCAGTTTTGAAAATTTTAATAAATCCAACATTTTTAAATATTTATCAAGGAGTGTGTGACTAATATGATTGATTTAAACTAAGTAAATGCAAAGTTAGTTGCATTTGGTTATTTTATCGTTAATCTTTGCCCGAAATAAAAATTGGTACTTCCATATTCAAAACCTTTAAGGTGGATGATTTTTTATTTACCTTTGAAATTTGATAATAATACAAAATGATAAAAACTATACAATATAAGAGTTTATTCGTGACTGTGAATATATGAATTTATTGAGCTGTTGTTATCTTCGGCTTCTCTCAGTGAGGTAAACACACCTTTCTCCGCTCTCACCTCCTCTTTCATTTAAATATCTTAAATTATATCAAAAAAATCCATATCTGAATAAAACAAAATCTTACTCAGTTGATATCTTAATTTCACCGACCTAACAACTCCTCGGTAGACCTAATGGAGGCATGATTCACTCGATAAGACGGTATCGAGTCTTTGACCCACTTACTTTATTAAACGCAAAAGTATGAACTTAATTATCTTACATTGTGGCATGTGGATCTGTGACCTAGATCATAGGGGGAGGGGGGGGGGATTGCAGTTCAAATAATGCCCTCTATAAATAGATACGACCACACAGTGTGCCTTCTTGATGGAGATTGGTTAGCATTCTTCACCACACCCCATCAATACCATTGGAGATGACACCCAAATTACAAGAGTTTGCCAACAACTGTGAGCTAGGCCATATTTTCAATCGAAGCACTTATGCAAAGTATATCAACCTTCAAGAGAGAGAGAGTTTCAAGCCACTTTATTTGTGATTAATATATATATATATCAATGAAAATGACTAGAGTCCGCGATTTTAGTCAAAGTGATTAAATAACTGATTTCATACGCTGCAAAATTTTGAATGCTATTACTACGCTTTACACCATAACCCACTTAAAAGTAATCATTTGAACAGCAAGCGATAAGATTGCTAAGTGTAAGTTGTCCTTGATTAGTCCCGTTAAAAAATTCATTGACAAACCGTAACAAATTCCATTGTAAATTGTTTAAATAAATTTAAAAATTCGAGGTCGCTTTGAAAAAGAAACTGTGAACGTCATTATTAAAAGGTTCTTCCTAAAAAATACAGGATGACGACATGCATATATAAATAAAATACATATTGCATTATGAACTTGAATTTCAGTAAAGCCCATTTCATAAGGTTGTCAAAAATAACTATTAGGTTGGCAACTAAGTCATTGTCGATTTCAAATAAGAAGGCAAATCCGGAATTTTCGTTTAAAAATATAACTTTATTCAATTAGATATTGGCCGTTCTTGTCGATGACCTTTTTCCATCGTTCTGGCAGAGTAAAAATTCCCCGTTCGTAAAATGTCTGGTCTTTGCTATTAAAAAACTGAATTAGGTGTGATCCGACATCATCCGCGTTGTTACAAATTTTACCATTTAAAGAGTTTTGCATGGAACGAAATAAATGGTAATCCAAAGGCGCAAGGTCAGGGCTATATAGTGGGTGTGACAAAACATCCCAAACCGGTTGCAATATTTTTTGCCGAGTAACCAAAGATGTGTGGGGGGGCCTTGCGTTATCATGATGGAAAACAACACCCTTCCGATTTGATAATGCCGGCCGCTTATCTTCAATTGCATCCTTCAGTTTTTCGAGTTGTTCAACATACACATTTGAATTTATCGTTTGGTTCTGCGGCATGAGTTCAAAATACAAAATTCCTTTGTGATCCCACCAGACTAACAGCATAATCTTTTTTGGTGAATCTCTGCTCTTGATACTGTTTGGGCTGGTTGATCTTGCTTCACCCATGATCTCTTGCGAGTAACATTCTTATAAACTATCCACTTTTCGCCGCCAGTAACTAGGTTCTTCAGAAATGGATCATTCTCATTGCGTTTCAGTAGCGGCGAATCACAGATGCTAATCCGTTGCGTCAAATGAATTTCCTTGAACTGGTGAGGGATCCAAAAATCAAGTTTCTTGACATAACCAAGGGTTTTAATTTTTTTTTCAATGCATGTATGCGACACATTGAGCTTCTCTGCAATATCTCGTGTTGTGCTGTGCTGTTACGATTTGAATCGATAATGGCCTTGATATGGGTTTCATCCACTTCGACTGGGCAGCCAGATCGTTGTGAATATTTCAGTGAAAAACTATCGGAACGAAATCTTTCATATAAAATTTCGACACTGCCTTTCTTTTAAGGCGGCTTCATCTCCATATACGGCACATAACTTCTTTTGTGCTTGCGATGCGTTCTTGCCTTTTCGCAAGTTATACAATAAAATGAGCACATAACTTCTTTTGTGCTTGCTATGCGTTCTTGCCTTTGTCGGAAGTGCACGTAATGTTCTTTCTTTTAATATTAAGATAAAAACAAAACTAAAGAACTAAACAAAACAACATTTTTTACTAATTAACCTAGAAGCCCATACAGAAAGAAATTTTTTACTAATTAACCTAGAAGCCCATACAGTTAAAAAATATAGGTTAGATGCTCTGGCCACGTTAACAAAACTGATGTTGCCAACCCAATAAAAAGACTTTCTACTGAATAAACGTCCCTTGCAGCAATAGTGAGTTCGTAATGAACCAAGTTTATGCAACACATTTACTACTTTGCACTAATTAGGTCGATGAGTGATGACTCAAGTTAATAGATGTTGATATATATCTGGATCCGCGAGTATTGAAAGAGGTACTACCTCAGTCTGCATGATCTTATTGGGCACCCACGAGTACGCTTCTTTTACCCAATGAAACTTCGACCAGGTATTCTGGATAAGACCCTGGAATAACAGAATTCAGGACTATCATAGCACTCCATCCGAAGCGAAAGGCAGGCGGATTGTTATTTACTGGAAAAAGGTACACCTTAAATGTACCGCCACTACTAGTTATATAACATAGTATTATTAGTATATACCCCGTGAATTCATCAAGCGGTATCCAGAATAGGTTTATTCAAAGAAAGCATTATTCTGAAAATGTTGAAGTATTTTCTGATTGATTATGCCCCTCCCCTCCCCATATATCTTAAATTCGTATTGCCTATTGACTCAAGTATACCCTCACCTAACAAATAAATAATAATGAGAGTCCAGAGAGCCAGCTCCACTTTTTATGCACCGAAATCTTTGAGTATATGCCATTCCCGAAATTTTCTCTCTTCTCATACTTTCTTACTTTTCTACTCTCTCATTATGCTGCTTTGTTTTTCAAATCAAATGAAAATTTCAAAGTCCCAGCACCTTAGTTGGCTTCAATCGTAAGGGAACCTATTATAAACTTACTCAGTGGCCTCCTTATGCCTCTGTCTACTTCTTTTCGAAGGTCCATAGGGTGGTGCATCCTTTGAAGCACCTCCATCACGTTTTCTGTGAGATCGTTTGTGAGTGGGTGAGCCTTCTAAGTAAGGAGTGTAGGGATATCGTGGCTGGTTGTGACAGCAGACATCTGATGTACCGCCTGGCGGGCCTTGTGGTGGGCCCATCTGTTCGTGATCTCCATTATCTCCCTTGCTATGGCGACCTCGATGATGGTGATGATGATGGTGACCACCTGTGTGGTGGTGATGGTGGTGCTGATGAGGGGTTTCTGCAACATTTGGTCGATCACGATGCGGTCGCTGACACATCTTCATATCCTGAAAAGTGGATAGAACAAGGTTTACTTTTAGGTTGAAGACAGCAAAAAATACTATCATTTCATTGCGGTGATATACTGAAAGTGGCAAAGGTGAGGTATTAAGCAGGAAATGACTTAGCCTTCCTTCCAATTGCATGCGAAATGAGTTTTCCTTCTGATGTTAACAGAATAGCATCATTATGCTGGACTCGCTGAACTTCATCTGGGAGAGTATTGGGGGTAATTAACGAGAAAGTACCAAACCAAAGTTCAGAAACCACCCGTTCGTTTACAACACAGTTAAGGGATTTTCCATAGTCAGATCGATACAAGGATCATTAAGAAATAAAACCTACGACAGATTTAGTCGTGAGGTTTCGTGTTGATCACATTTCCATTTTATTCTAATAAAAATGTGTGGTAGTCATTGAATTACTTAATTCTTGGAATATTGATTTACCTCTCACTCAATCTTAAGACTAAAATCTGCAAATTTACTTATGTAATAAGCTTACACATATTAATCTGATATTCGCTGTATCTAGCAGTGTATCTAGTGTACATCACTCTCGAAAGCGACTGAGCATTCTGAAGAGTGCGACGTCCCGCCACAATCAGCGATTACTATCCAGTCAGAGTTGCATCTAATTAATTTAATTACTGATCGCGTTTTGCGGTTCGACAGATTTAAAAAAAAACACTTTTCCCTCTAATATGTACTCTCTTCTCCCTCATTTTGACGTTATTTAGACAAGAAGATTTTGTAAGTGACAGGTTTGCCTTCACGGAGGATTGTTATGGTTTGATCAAATATTTAGTGGTGTAGTGATTGCTGTAATTGCCAGATTGAAACGACAAAGTTTCTTGAAAAACCCTTTAACAGGGCGCATGAAAGAAATTTACGACCAAATTTCAAATCCTTTTTTTCTAAAGAAATTGGATGTACATCATTTATCAGACCAGGGCTGAAATTTGTTCTATCATTTGTTCATTTTAAATCATTGTTTCAAGAGGAAAGTTTGGTGAATTTCAAGTAAATGTAGCGTAGTAATATTGATTCTCTTTCAATTTTTCTTGCCAAATTGACTATACATTCAACGAGTCGTTACCATGTCATTTGAATGCCAATTGTCCTAATTTGTTAAAAGTGAATGTTTCTGCGTTTGAGTCTATTTCCTTTTTAATTGAAAGTATTTCGTCATTCCAACACTATGACCACCTCTTCTACTTGACTGTGCCTTGTTCCCTGTGATCCTGTTATTCGAATGCAAGCGCATTTGATCTTATGTAACCCAATAAACTCCAATGGGCAACCACTTCAATCTGATTCCACCATCTCAATAAAATCGCATTGATTTGGCTTATTTTCATTTCCAAAATTCGATTACTTCAACTAATTTTATGTTTGTTCTAAAGGTTCGACTTGGGTGTTTATATAACGCTAGAGGGGGAGAGAGAGAGAGAGGGGAGAGAGAGAAAGAGGGGGAGAGAGAGAGAGAGTAATAAAACCATTTGCTTTTGGAAGCTACGGAGTTGGCACGCTCCAAGATTAATTTCGTTCAGGGGAAATGGATTTGATGCTATCTAATCCATACTCACTATAGTCATTATAACTTTAAAACGTGCATTTCAGACCGAGGAGAATTACTCTTTGAAAGTAATCGCAGCTTAAATGGAAGTAATTTTTGTGCCTATTTTTTATAATACAAGATAACTTAATGCATTATTAAATTTATACTTACGAAAAGGGAGTCCGCGATAGGCCCACCTTCACTTGGTGTACCCTAGGCAACATATACTCATACTGCAATAAAGTCCATAAACTGGCAGCTGAATTCTGACTACAAAGTTCAAAGACCTGACTCTATGCCATATTTGACCACCNCTACAGTACTCACCTTACCTTTTTCAATACCTATGTGCCTGTCTCTTTTACTTATGTGAATCACTCTTCTGTTCACCCACCCCTCGACTTTTTGTGATTTTGATGTTCCTCCTCATCTGTGATGCCCGAAGTCAACTAAAGGGCCAATGGTAACTATCACAAAGCCCGCCATCTGATATAAATATTTACAAAATAATTAATTTTCCAAATTTAAGACTAAATGGTGACAGGCTGCCGACAAACAACTCCTATCAGTGGGCAACTAGACCTGGAAAAGCCCGATCAATATGCAGGTATGCGTCGTTGCCATGACTTCGACCGCCAACGACAAACCATTGTTATCCGCTAGTTGCTCCGACTTTCTAAGTCAACTTTATCTAAATACACAACGGAACGTACATTTAGTCTTTGTTGAATTATAACTTAGTAGACATTGTAGTCATTTCATTGAGAAATTAGCATTATGCTTCTCCTCACGTTAATCAGAATTATCCCCTCTCCCTACATCGGTTGCGCGCTGATAGGCCATGATACCAGGAACCAAGATTTAAAGGACGTCCTCTACACCATCAGAGAAGCGAAATCACTTAACTCACTAAAGTTCAGAGTTGGCATTTCGTAGTTGTATAGTTCACTCGTTATTATACGACGTTATCCAGAAAACTCTGCCTCTTTTGTATACAGATTCCAATGGAATATTCCGGAGCTACTCATGTAAGAAATCCGCATTCNNAATATGTGGAGATAAACTTAGATTCTGTGATCACTGACCCGGCAAACCTAAAGGAAACCAATAACACCTAGTATTCTCAGTTGACCACTCGTGCAAATGTTAATCAGACACATATGCTTGAAATCCACTGCCAAGGAGAGAACCGGTACTTTTATGTGGTATAGTACCACATAGTAAATATATACATATATATCATCTCAATTTTCTCCAAAAATGGGAAGAAAATCCACGTTGGGGAAACTAAATCAATCAACTTATTTTATTACCTCCAATCGAAGAGGATGCATGTAGAGGCAAGGTGCAACACCCTCTCCATAGAATCCAGCTGGAACATTGCAAGTATGAGGTGGTAATATATGCGACGAGTGGATTGGTTGTCGAGGGACTAAACCAAATGAAGTCATCCCAGAATAGTTGAAATGTTCTGCAGGCATTGGTACCTCAGATCGATCTCTTGCCTGCAAGACACAAAGCAAAACTCACTCTTACTAGCCTTCCCAGGCAATTTAATTATTCAAATGCTAACAATATTCAATTCTCTTGAGATTTCTTGAATCTTTTCAAGTAATGTGAACAAAGGCATCTTCTTATTACCCAGCTTGGTAAGAAAGGAATTTCAGGAGTTTTCGGGAATATATTGTTCTCTGAAGGATCTCCAAGTCCAGCTAAATGAACTCCTGCAGGAATTGATCTTGAAAATCCATACGAGAGACCGAATGACTGAGTGTTTGACCTAGTCTGGCTCATTCGAGCAGGTAGGGTATCGGTTGGAAGGATGCTAGGAGGCTGACCCATCTAAAATACACCAAAAACAGTCATTTCTACTCCAGCAATTAATTTAACAGAAAAGCGTTTCAGTCTTACGTTTTCAGATTTCTCAGATCTTCGTGGACAGTTGTGAATATGTTCTGTTGGTGGTTCTGGGGCTGATTTCTCTTCTTGTTCATTACTCCATTCAGCAGTCACCCCACTACGTATAATAACCCCAGTAGCACTCTCAGTACCGCTTGAACTCCATTGATCAATTCCAACAATCTGTGCAGCTGTGGCTGAAGAATCAGTACCACCATCAAATATCGAGTCAATTCTAGCTGAGGATGTCTGATTCGAATGTTGATGGCGTATCTTCCTTCGACTACTCTTTCCTGACTTAGAGCTGATAGGTGTGTCAGTGGCTTCCGCCATATCTGCCATATCTTCCATTTCAACACAATCGAGTTCGTTGTCTTCTTCCTCGCTCTCGAGAGCTGTCTGCGTGGCTGTTGTCTTGCAATGACAAGATGAAGTGGATCCCAGTAATTTCATTGATGGAGGTAATTGAGGTTCTTCTGCTTTTTCTTCCGCCTGTAATACCTCCTCCTGAAGGAAAGAAATGTTACTGGCATTTCATTAACTGTGCTGACCCATTGATACATGCTCGATTGATAAAATCAGAATATGACCCAATCGTCAGTATTTTTAGCTGCACTCTATTGCACTGTGTAAAGTTTAGCAAAGTGCACAACAGAGCATGAGCATAAGGCACACCAATCAAGTGTACAGGATCTTTTAATCATCAAAATCGACTTTCCAAACTGTGCAACCAGCGATGTGAAGCTACAGTGATTATCCTATACTGCATGATAACTGGCAGAATGCAAGTTTCATACTTTTTTACAATGTGGGTCTCATCTACTATTTTATAACCTGTAACCTGCCGCTATTTTCCATGTACCCACAAGATAGCACTGACGTTCAGTTGGCTCAAGCAAGAAGAGGGATAAAAAGGGAATGTCGTTACTCCAAGCCACCCTATTACCTTAAAGTAAGAATATATAAGTGCGCAACAATCCTCTTCTTATAAATGATGTGAAACATCACCAGATTAGTTATGGGTGTTGTTCCAACTAACTGTCATACTATCGCGTACGGCATGGGTCTATGTATAAATAAGATTGAAGTGAGATTTGGAGACCAGTTGTGGTAATCGCACAGCTAGAGATAAAAACAACTGCTTTGCTATTTTGAGATTCGCATTAGCATAAACCTTGACATTAAGATTAATAAAAACCCCCACTTCAAGGGCCTGACAAGAGTAGTAGCTCAACTGAAGAAAATGTTGCTGGCTAACCTAAACCATAACTCAAAAATGCCATAAAATCCAATTTTTTTAAAAAAATGAATGAAAGTTTAAATCTTCTGCACTTTCCACCAAAGTGTATATCCATTGCCTGAAAAGAATGATCTTCAATATCTTTATATTAGGCTGGCAACTAAGTCATTGCCAATTTCAAATAAGAAGGCAAATTCGGAATTTTTGTTTAAAAATATAACTTTATTCAATTAGATATTGGCCATTCTTGTCGATGACCTTTTTCCACCGCTCTGGCAGAGTAAAAATTCCCCGTTCATAAAATGTCTGGTCTTTGCTATTAAAAAACTGAATTAGGTGTGATCCGACATCTTCCGCGTTGTTACAAATTTTACCATTTAAAGAGTTTTGCATGGAACGAAACAAATGGTAATCCGAAGGCGCAAGGTCAGGGCTATATGGTGGGTGTGACAAAACAAAACAAAACATCCCAACCCAGTTCCAATAATTTTTGCCGAGTAACCAAAGATGTGTGCGGGGGCCTTGCGTTATCATGATGGAAAACAACACCCTTCCGCCGATTTGATAATGCCGACCGCTTATCTTCAATTGCATCCTCCACTTTTTCGAGTTGTTCAACATACACATTTGAATTTATCGTTTGGTTCTGCGGCATGAGTTCAAAATACTAAATTCCTTTGTGATCCCACCACACTGACAGCATAATCTTTTGTTGGTGAATCTCTGCTTTTGATACTGTTTGGGCTAGTTGATCTT